GTTTTGCCCACACCGCAATCGCCAGCTGGGTATTATTACTGCAAGGGGTAGTTGAACAGATTTGAATGAATTTGAATCTTCCTAGGCTGCCGTTTTATGTACGGATATGCACATTAGTATCTCAGAGCAAAAAGGTACCTGACTTGCAGCTTTTTTAAAGTATCAAGAAAGAGAGTCTCCGCTTTGGTTCCATTGGCTCTAATTTAAATTTTTTGAACTCTAAATCTAAGTATCGGCACAAGATATAGTTAAGAACTACTCAACTTTTTACAAACAAGTAACTGTATTTAGAGATTTCAAAAGCCAAACCTAACTCGATCTTTCACAAAATGTGGGATTTGAGTACTTTTTTGCCCTGAGATATTGATATAGCTCTTTATTTGTCGCAAAAAAGTTGCCTACGTAGATTACTAATCGATGCAAGTTGTTGGCAGAGGGCGGCTGTGGGATCCAGCTATGGTTTTTTTATTCGAACGTTTTTTTTTGAATTGCCACATAAAAAGAGCGATGCACAATCCGAAAAGGAATATGACATTTTTTAGCTAAAAAAAATTTCTGCTAACCATTAATTAAATTAGGCCTACCGATGAAAGTGAAATCTCACACGCAACGGCAGATTTTTGATTACATAGTCAAATTTCTTCTAATTTTTCTACGGTGTGTCACAAAGCAGGGGTGCTTTTTCATCAAAATTTTTAATTTCTTTTAGAACGTAGCGATGAAATCTGAATATTAAGTCACGTTCTCCCTCCGTGAACCTTCTTTCAAAATTCCGAGAGCTTCAGAGTGATTTTCGCTGACTTTGAACACATCAAAAAATTCAAATATCTGCTTCAATTTGCTTGAAAGCCCCGAGAATATGATACAGTTTTTGAATATACCTTTTCAGTACACTGGAAAAAAAACACATTGGATCTAGAGTCCAGACTCTTGAAAACATTGACAAGAAAAAGAACTCTTGATTCAATGAGATTTAAGCTTAAATCAAAAGGAAATTCGCTCAAATTAAGAGGCTTGGTTTTTGATTTAAGAAAAAATCCGATTAGATCAAGAGTATTTTTTCTTGTCGATGTTTTTAAGAGTCTGGACTCTAGATCCAATGTGTTTTTTTTTTTTCCAGTGTAAATTGTTTGAATTATGAAACGGGATAACACTGGAATTCTGAAAAATGAAAACGTACCCACAGAAAAATGTTGACCTGCTCGCACAAAAATGAAACAGATACTGGCAGAACTCTTCGATTGGGGAAAAAATTGAGAACACATATCGTTGGCAAGAAAAAAAATTAAATAATAAACAACCGTTGCCAAGTTCAGGATGCAAATTAGTATCCTCAAGGTTAAGATTATCTAATGACAGAAAACTAGGACAACCTTGTAAAAAATTAGGACGGTGACTTCACGATCGCAAGTGCAATTCAATGGTGTATATTAAATTGTATACAATTTCACAATTTCGTCCTTTTTTTCTCGTCGTATCCCATATGATCATCATAGGTGGTCAATGTGTGAGGGAATACGAGTTTTGCACATCGAGGCAAACTCTACTGCAAGTCAGGATGATTAATTTTCGACACGTTTATGTAATATGTCGCACAGAGGGATGGACAGTGAAAGAAGGCGGACATTAATTTTTTTTTAATAAGATCACACATATATTGACGTCCATATCGTCACAATATAAATTTCGAATGGTGACTCATGAAGGAAATTTTACAAAATTATCAATGGAGCCACATTTAGTCCTCTGAATTTCGTATTAACGGAGAAATAAATTTGAATTTTTCAAAAGAATGTCCGACCCCGCCCACTGACTCACTTCACTGTGCGACGAAATTGTTATCAAATCAAGCAGTAAGTGGCGATGAGTCCCATTTGGGTACTGTCTTCAATGGCACCATCCGTCATATAGTGTGTACCATCGTGTGCAGAGCAAGGTCGGACTGGCTCACATCTCAGGGCGTCGACCCATAGCCGGCTAAAGGGGCGTTAAGTGATATTTTGCCCCCCTGCATACCCAACCGTGAAAGGTCGTCCAGAAATTTTCTGGTTTGAAGTTTATTAAGTAATCGCGCAGAGCACAAATTGCGAAATTGAAAACTTTTAAGTAACCGGAAGACTAGGGAAATGAGAAAAAAAATTATAAAATCAAAGCTGGGTACCAGAACACATTCATGCATCATTATTTCCAGAGGAATCGAGCCAGAGCTTGCAACCTATAATACTGCTTTTACAAACTAAATGCCGGAAAATGATGCATCATTTTCGGGTTTTCGGGTTCATGAACCCGAAAATATATACGCCGAAAAGATCTTTTTAAACTCATCGGAAAATGAAGCACTCAAACCAGAAGAAACAAGGTGTTCAGTAGAAAATGTAGAAATATAGAGATAGGAATGCATGTATCTTAAATGTTCCAGAGATCTAAGGCCAGAGGTCTCATTCAACAATCATTTTGTTGGCAATGACAATGTTTTGGGATGCCACCCGCTAAATTTTATTGAAATTCATTGACTGATTGTAAATGGTTTCTTTTGGATCCCCTCTTGACTCCTGAGTTTTTAGCGAGAAAGGTGCAGTTGTATTTTAATGGTATTTTCATTAACCCTTAGATTCTGAAACCCGGTCAAATTGACAGGAGACTTGTTTAAAAAACGTACCACGCGAGTTGTAAGGGACCGCGGTACATACGAGCCGTAGATGTCTTTAAATATTTGTACATTAAAAAAGAATAAAACTTCAAAGTGAAAAAAGAAGAAAAATAAATTGAGGAACAACAGAGTCGAGACTTATTCAGGCATTTTAAATTTTTCTCTCGAATCTGAGCACCACCTTACTGACAGCATAAAAAGGAGCATTGCGAGTTCACGCATAGCGTCATCGCGCCTTCAATTTTGCAGATGCAACACGGACATCCATCATGTACGAATAGTTGTATCTCTGCGCCGTCAGCAATGCGCCTCCTTTTACTTTGCTCTATTTCCATACTGTGTTTGTTTGTCCTATTTGTATTTGTAGCGGCGATTTAAAGGATGAATGAGCAACACAGCCTTAGGAGAGCGGTAATAATCGAGTCTCGTCTCTTAAATTTTCGCACGACACCTCATTGGCAGAATAAGGCGGGGCTGCGGAACATCGCGATTTCACAGCTCGCGTCGTCGCGCCTTCAGTTTTCGCAGATGCAACACAGACATCCAGCAAGCACGAATAGTTATATCTCTGCTCCGTCTTTCCATTTGCTCTATTTCCATATTGTGTTAGTTCCGTTTGTCTTATCTGTAGTGATGCTTCAAGGGCTTCTTGAGCAAAAAAGCCGAAAATAGGATGTGCCCTAATCAATTATCATTTTGAAACAAGAAAAAAAAAAAAAAAAAAAAAGTTAGAGGTGTCTCAAGCGATTGAAAGGGCGCACGTCTAAAAATTGACTGTACTACCTCTTGAGAGACTACTCTCTGTGAAAGAGTGACGCATGGCGGACGAGGAAAGGGATGGGGGCAATAAAGCGTCTCTATGTTACCAAAAAGGTAAAAAAATCGAAGAAAATAATTTTTTCCCGATCTTAAAAATTTCATTCCTAGGAATTTGACACTTAACAAAAGTTCAAGAGATATTTTGATTTCCTCACTTAATGACGCTCATCATTCCCTTTTCGAACGTGATCGAGAAGATCTTTTAATGCCTCAAAGCTAATTTTACGACGGAGAGTGACAAATTTTTCGCGTAATACAGAGAGCTAAAAGCGTAAAACGTAATAGCGTAAATTTGCACTTTATGTGATCGAATGTCTGCTAGTGAGTGAAATAATTGTCACTCATAACAGCTTGATTAAACCACTCTGTCCCAATTTTTCACATTCTCTTCTTCAAAATATTGAGCTACGGATACAAAATCTGAATTCAGCAAATAAATTAAAAAAAACCAAAACATCAATTTTCCAGCATTTTTGTAGGCCTAGGCGCCTCTGCGGACTTATTTCCAGTTTCTGGTTCCAGGACCTCCATTTATCACTATTATGCGTCCGAGGACCTTACTTTACTCTTACTTTCTATTCTCCCGTTCATCGATAAATTTTCCGCATTTTTTCTCGGTCATCATTTTTTCTCTCAGCTTATTTCGCTATATCTGGCAGAGAGGCGCGTCTTTGATGTGTCAGGGGGGCGTATCTGCCAAAGGCAGACTGGCCTTATGGCCATTCCGACTCTCGTGGGGAAGTCCGAAAGTGATAGTGAGAAATCGAATGGCGGGCTGGATGTTAATTGGCGTATTTTGCGATATATGGATAGATCAACCGTTTAAACCTATGGAAAATGATCGATAAACAGAGCTTTTGCAACGAACACCTTAATAATCGATTCTTTACTAAAGTTTCAGATGGTTAAATGTCGATAATTGACCATTCACGCCTCGCCACTGTAGTTAGTCTATCGCCCCTCCCCCCTTAATCTACATTAACAACCCGTCTCAACCAAAAGGATAGCTCCATTCTCAAACTCCTATCAAACAGAACTAAGTGCAGGTGGGAAAGATGGGGTCTGCACGTTAATGCTCGGGCCATAGGAATGAATGGGAAATATAAAGTGACAGTGACGAAGCTGTCGTCGCGGCTCCTCGTGGTGGGCATAAACTCATGAGCCCTGGTCACAACGCTCTAGACGCATGTTCTTGGCTCAAGGATGCCGCATCCAGGTGGCTCATAATGCCGTTTGCTGAATTGACAAAGCGGGGTTTTACATTCTGTCAAACGGAAGTATGGGCAAAGTGTATGAGCCATGGGCATGTGTCTAGAGCGTTGTGAACAGGACTCATGAGTTAATGACAACTACTACGAGGAGCCGCGACGACGGTTTTGTCACTGGCGCTTTATATTTCCCATTCATTCTTATGGTTCGAGCAAGAACGAGCAGACCCCATCTTTCCCACCTGCACTTAGTTCTGTTTCATAGAAATACGTCCACTTATCAGTCAGTGCATAAAATGCAACGCTCAATGAAAAGGACTTACCGACACAGGCCCTCGGGCCATCCCCGAAAGGCAAGTATGATCCTGGGACGATGTTATGAAGATTCTCATCAGAAAAACGATCTGGGTCGAAGACTTCCGGGTTTGGGAAGTATTTTGGGTCGTGGTGGAGGGAAAGTATCGGTATGAAGCAGTCGACACCTTCTTCCACGAGCACCGACGTTCCCGGGATTCGGAATGGCTCCGTGCAGGTCCTCCCTAACATCACCGTCACCGGATACTTTCGCAGTGTTTCTGTCATGGAACAGAGAGGGTAAGGTGCCATGAGAAGAAATTCCAGTCTCGATTGTATAATTTGACACACACTAGAAAAAAAAAACATTGGATCTAGAGTCCAGACTCTTGAAAACATTGACAAGAAAAAATACTCTTGATTCAATCGGATTTTTGCTTAAATCAAGAACCAAGCCTCTTAATTTGAGCGGATTTCCTTTTGATTTAGGTAAAAATCTGATTGAATCAAGAGTATTTTTTCTTGTCAAAGTTTTCAAGAGTCTGGACTCTAAATCCAATGTGTTTTTTTTCCAGTGCAAAAAAGGATTCGACAGAAATCGTAATGTCGTCACCTGCCGGCCAAAGTATCCCAAGCGCCATGCGACGTCTGAAAATTTCCGCCGCCCTTTTATTTTTTTACAGAGAAATTGTTCAAAGAAACTGTCCGAAAATTTCACTGAATTTTTTTTGAGCTGCGGATAAAATTCAGTAAAATTTTCAAACAGATTCAACCGACAGTATTTCTGTAAAAGAATAAAATGACGGCGGAAATTTTGAAACGTCGCATGGCGCTTGTGAGACTTTGGCCGGAGGGTGACGATGTAGGTATAGCTTAAATCTTGAATGAGGCATAGACAAGAGAATTTCGTACGGCTGTAGGATACTTATACTTTTTCCCACGTAAATATCCTTGAATAACACCAGTCCATCAAAAAGTTCATCATGAAGTTCAAAAAATCATTTCCAAGGGGACAAAAGCTAATAAAACTGGACCAATCAAAAACCTACAGTGCAGTTGACGTAGTAAGACAATGCCTCAGGCTGAAGTCAGCCTGTACCAGTACAGGCTGTTCTCGCCCGCGTTTCGGGCTCTGTGCCGCGAAATGAAGTTTAATTTCATTCGGTCGTTGCGAAATAACCCGCATAAGTATGTGTCGAAATCGCTCAGAATTCGGATTGTAAGTTCGTCATAACCTTGAATAGTGGCGATTTTTACGTGTCGGCAACAATGGGTTTCATTCATTAGTTATCATTAAAATAATATGCACTTCAGTAAAGACGCATGCTGCTTTATATTACAGTACCTACATGGAAAAATAATTGTAATGTCTGTGCCACCCTTGGACCGTGCTCTTATTTTAGGCTTTTCGTGGGACTCTGAAAGCCTAAAAACTCGACCTGTATGACTTTATTCTCCGCAAAAAATGGAAAGGAACAATGTGATTCTCGAAAAAAATATCCATCGAAGCTTGTTTGGAACTTATTTCAGAAGTTTGAATTAATTTTTATTATTATTATTATTATTATTTTTTTTTTTATAAATCCTGCCAACATTTTTTACATTGGACCTGGGGCTTCATGAAAGCCTATAAAACTCGAAAATCGATCAGACGTTGGCACAGATTTTCTTTATCAAATGGATTGAGATGACAATATTTTTTATAAGTTAACTGATAAATGATTGATTGACTGACTTTGATCGCACCTTCAACTACTCGTTTATGCAATTTGAGCTACGTTGAAGGTCAAATAGTTGTATCACACTTTTGGCATGAAGGAAGAGACTTTTATCGAGGATTTCTCAGCTATGCGTGCCTGTCAGAGGGCCAATGATGTATAAACCACTGTATTCGATCTACTCACTTATTTTAATTAAGGACCTTTATGACCTGATATCTTCATAAAAAATGGAAACGATTGCCAAATTTTTAGACAGCGCAATGGAGATTCCAGGTCTTGGTTGATCCTAAGCACCTCCCATGTGGGATTCGTCTAAATACTGCCGTGCTAAGGAGAAACGCCGTATGAGCCTTCAGGCGTTGCCAAATTTCCTGAAGTGAATCACGAATTTTTGGGAAAATTTGTAGATATTTTTCCTTAAAATTGTCGCTTCCAGGACTTTATGCCCACCTAACTTTCGTCCATTAAATAAATGTCCATCGCTATTTATGTCCACTAAACGTTAATTCTAGTCTTCATTAAGTCCACATGATTTTATGTCCAACCATGAATATGTCCAAAATTGTCCAAATTGTGGACATGTTATGTCCACATTTTTTTCTTCTCATTTAAATGACAGGAACCACCTCAAAAGTAAATGCATACTACTACTACCTTCATTTTTAAAAACATTTCGTTCATGAATCAAGTCATGAAAGAGAACAGACTCTAAGAGCAGATAAAAACATATGTTCATGTGTGCACTGTACGGATATGATAGGATGAAAACCAAAGTGGGAGCCTAAGAAACGCTGCAATGTCAAATTAAACATTTTTCAGTAACAGATACAGTCAAAATTGAAAGTTCTCTTTAACTAGTTATTTCGTGTGCCTTCAATCTTGTAGGATACTGTGCAACGCCTCTGACGCGCAATAGTTGCTTAAAGCGTTGCGGCGCGGCAGGAAACCAGCGTGACACGCGCATAGGCGCCTACAAACCTAACGGGATACTTCACGCGTTGCGCAATGCGTGAAGTATCCCGTTAGGTTTGTAGGCGCCAGTGCGCGTTCTGCGCTGCTAACACGCCGCTCCGCTCTGTGTTTTAGGCTCTAATATTTAAACTCGCGGAGTCAGCGTTTTTCAACTCATGATTTTGAAATGTTTGCACTCTCTGCATTGATTATTCCCTTTTAAACTGATGAAAAAGAAGTATGTACTACTGGAAAATATAATGTGTTTTTTGTAAATATAATAGTGGTTCCATGTCAAATTTAATGATTTCCAAAGCATTTAAATTTATTCTTTTATGTTTTTGGCTTTTATTGTGCTGCAGCGTGGTGTAAGCTCAACCAAACGCTCAAAATCGGACGTATTTGACTCAAGGAGGTCGATGTACAAATAGGTTAAAAACAAAAAATTGCGTGCTTCTTAGTTTTTTTCCATTTTTATTACTTTATTTATAGTTTCTTTCATCACAACTACAGCTCATTGAGATTCATATCGATGCCATTGCTCGGAAAAGGTTTTACAAATATTTACCACGTTTTAAAACTGTTAATGTTTTTAAAATGAAGTAATCAATTTCATTAAAAAAAAGAATGTACATTTAAGGCATATTTTATATCGGAAACAAGGATAGAAATGAAACCAAGTATTTACCAAAGACAATTTGAAAAGATGAATCAAAAGAAGAAATTAACATTTCATTTAAAATGTGAGTTACGATAACAACACCTCATTCTCTCTTAATTTTCTCATTTCGATAATGTCAATATAATTTTACACACGGACTAAAATATGACGCTTGAATTTGATTTTAGTGAACTTTACATTTGTGGACTTAACTTAGTGGACGTTTATAAGTAATGGACTTGACAATAGTGTGGGCTTTAGAACTGTGGACGTAAAAATTATGGACGAAAAGTCTGTGGACGTAAAAAAAGTGGTCATAAAGTCCGTGTACCAATTTTTCAGATAATTTTGTTCGCAATTTCATCTAAAGTTCCTAAAAATTTCAAGGAAAAATATACATATCTTCCATCAAAAATAACTATTTTCCGCGAGGAAATTTAGCAATTCTCGAATGTTTATACGGCGTTTTTCCTTAACACGGCAGAATAATTCTCGATAAATCCAGAGATTAGAGACTTTTCGACTGGTTGGGCTTGTGAGACCTAATCCTCTATGCCGATCATGCTTTCACATTCAAAAATTCTCACCGGATATGACTTGTTCCATATACTGGAGATTCTTGAGTTGGTCGTAGGGTAGTTGGACGGCGGCGGGGGTCTTGAGGCTCTGGAGCTCCTGAAACATCTTGTCTTGTACGTCCGGGCGATGTGCTACCTCGAAGAGACAGAACGCGAACACAACCGCCACTGCGTCGTAACCGACCGCCAGAAATGCACTCACCACCCCCATCATCACATCATCCGTTATCACTGAGACTGAGAACAAAGATTTTTTACCACAGATACACATTTTTAAGAGCAGCCCGAGGCAATGGTAACAATATAAACGACAAGGGGGGAACGGGAAACAAGGCTAAAATACACAATTAATAGCCCCAATTAATCGTCAGATCCCGGCCACCACCATGTAGGGCTCAGGTTTTTATCGTTCTTATTAAATTTTTATTGTATTTCCGACTGAAAATGACTCAGTTTTGAGTCGGAACGTCTCGGTTTTTATCAATTCTGCATTTTAGCCTTGTTTTTCGTATCCCCCCTTGTCTCTTATAGTTTTTTACCACTTATATATGTATTTTATATGTATGGGACTTCTAAGCTCTTCTAGTGCCTCAGAAAGCTGATGCAGCAATGCATTAGGGGTGACGAGGTGCCAGGGGAGTGGAAGGAGTCCTGGATCAAGGCCATCTACAAAAAGAAGGGAAGGAAGGACGATTGTAACAACTACCGGGGGCTCTCAGTGACCGGGACAATAAGCAAAGTGTACGGGAAGATACTGAAAGCGAAGATCGAGGACGAATGGCAAGATCACGAAGCAGAGGAGCAGGCTGGTTTTCGAGCTGGCAGGTCTACGATAGATCACCTCTTTGTTATTGTCCAGGTCATTGAGAAGAAAATGGCCGTAGCTCAGGAGCTGCATTTAATTTTTGTGGATCTCCAGAAGGCGTATGACAGTGTGCCGTTGGTGAAACTTTGGGAGGCCTTGGAAAAATCGAATTTTAACGGGGGGTTGATTGACGCTGTTAAGCGATTTTATAAAGGGAGTTTTACCAAAATTAAGTGCCATGGGGGGTTGTCAGCGGGATTTTATGTTACTAAGGGTTTAAAACAGGGATGTTGTTTGTCGCCAACATTATTTAAAATTTATCTTGAGTGCGTGCTAAAAGAATGGAAAAAGAAATGTTCTGGTATGGGTGTCCCCTTGGGTGATCTTGAAACTCTGTTCACTCTGTGCTTTGCTGATGACCAGGTGGTGGTTGCTCAAGATCAAGACGACGCGGAATACATGATGCGCAAGTTAGTAGAAGAGTATCGGAAGTGGGGTCTGGAAGTCAGCATATCCAAATCTGAGAAGATGACTTTTGGCGGTGATCAGCAAAGCATTGAGTTGGAGGATGGGCAGCAGATCAAAGGCTGCGAGCACTATAAGTACTTGGGAGTGCGGTTGACCCAGGATGGAAGAGCTGATCAAGCGATTAAGGAAAGAAACACCCTGGCAAGGAAGGCTACAGCGATGTTAAATGGAATCCTCTGGGACCCTCGGATTTCCAAGGAGAACAAGAGGAGAATTTACGACGTTGTAGTCAAGAGTATTCTTACATATGGATGTGAAGTTTGGCAGCTGAAGGAGCGGACAAAGGGGATGCTAAGAGCAACGGAGATGGATTTCTGGAGGAGGTCTGCTGGAATTTCTAGGAGAGATCGGGTCCGCAATGAAAGAGTGCGTCAGATCATGGGAGTCGAAAATGACATCATATTCGACGTCATGACCAGACAGCTTGTCTGGTATGGTCATGTCAATAGAATGACGGACGAAAGGCTGCCAAAGAAGTTGCTTGATTGGGTTCCTCCTGGAAGGAGACGAAGGGGACGCCCAGTGAAAGGGTGGCGACAGGGGATTTTAGAAGAAATGAGGGTTTGTCAACTCCCTGAAGGGCTTTGGGAGGATAGGGGACTTTGGCGGCTAGGGGTCGCAGAGCGCCAAAGAGCGCTATAAAAGCGACTTTATACATACATACATATATGTATTTTAAAGTCAACTATTCACAGCATAAATTTGAGTGTAACTCCTATACCCTTTGTTTATTTAAATCGGGAAAACTAGTAAAGATAGTTTGGACAATGGGCCACTAGACAAGGTATGAATTTAAGTAATCTGGTACATGTTCCTTAACCAGAATTTTACGTAGAACACGATGCACACAACGAAAATTACTGAAACCAACTCATAACGAAGATATTAACGATTTTATTTCACATCGGTTACGAGGAATTCGAACTGCCCGCTCACAAGAAACTCAAAGCTTTACGCGAGTCAAATCGCGCACTACAGCGGTTTCAGCAAGCGTCTCAATCGAGCAATGTTCATTTCCCACCATGTGTTGTTCAAACTATAAGCAATTTGCGATAGCTGAGCCAAAGCGTCAAGATTGAGGTTGTCAGATATTTAAATCGCAGAGACTGTCATGACAACATTTAGCGCGCAATCTGAATCACGTAGAGCATTGAGTTTTCATGAGGAGGTTTGAATTCACGCATCAAGAATCATTAAATATTTTCGTGAGGAGTTGATTTCGGCACTTTTCGTTGTGCGTATCGTGTTCTACGTAAAATTTTGGTCATGTATCATGTATCAGAATGCTGAAATTCGTACCTTGTCTAGTGGTCCATTATGTACTCTAAAAAAGTATTTTTGATCATATAACCAAAGTTCGGTTTTTAATGTCGAGCAAACTAATCGGTTTGTTAAATTGAACTTATGAATCGATGCCCACGTTTTCTGAAATACGCGTGAGTGCATCTCCCTATAAACACAAAACGAAATTTACGTGGCCGAATTGGTAAAATTCAGTTTGTATAAACACACATATATTCTGTATGGTTGTTGTTTCTATACTTGTTCTTAAATGAACAGAGACTTGGAGGAAGAAATTGAGTCAATGGTAGAGAAGTTAAAACTGTTATCATGATTATGAATAAAGCAGCTTCTACCCGCTCTGGTGAAGCAAAGACATTATTCGAGTTATAGTTGAACATGATTGACGAAGAGGCTATATTTAAGAGACAATGAAGAGGACACATCCTCGAATAGAGAACTATTGCTGCATGGAGGATGTGTTTTGGCCTACCGCAACAATTGAAGACGATATAGCATGGTGTGAAACAATTTTACTGAATTAATTTTGTGTCAGCTCTGTGCGGTATTCTCTATGCTGAAATTCATTTGTAAGATTCTTACGTAGCACTCATTTTCGTAGCATAATAATTCCCATTCATTCAATTAATTTCAGCTTCTTTTAGAATTATCACCTCAAATAGAAGAAGCGGAACAAGACGATTGATTTAAGAGAGAGGAATATAAAGAAGAGAGATAAAGGAAGATATGAAATTCTCAACGCCTTTTATGTGAATCGCGACAGCAGATTACTTTCATTCATAAGGTTCCTTATTGTTACCCTTCTAAACGAAGGGAAGAAAATTAACATGAATAAAGAAGAAGATATAGGAGTAGAAATCCTATCAGGATTTTAGGTTTCAGTAGTGCTTCTGTACGAAAGACGAACTCGATGGTCACTTGGACCGAGTTCATCAGATAACAACCAACCCACGTTAAGTTGAGTAAAGGGTTTTAAATTTAATTCCTGCATAAGGCTTAATGCAGAAAATAGAATTTAACCCCTCTTTCCGTGAACTAATTTCTTTTTTTCGACTTTCAGTTTTTGCCAGGAGAAGATATACGGCCTAGAGAAACTCAAAAACACTCTTAAATCAATTTTTTCGAAAATGTGGCTGGTTCATCTCTAATAAACTCGGTCCAAATGAGGTTTTTTTCATTGATTGGATAGGTTGGAATGTGAAAAACCACAAAGCCAAGGTGTTATTTTGAGCATTATTTTGAGAAAAGCTCCGGCAATGATTTAATAAAATAGTATTCTCAAAATAATACCTTGGCTTTGTGGTTTTTCACATTCAAACCTATCCAATCTTAACTGGTGTTACAGTGATTCTCATCACCATGCTCAAATATCTTTTCATTGAGGTTACCGTCAGCGGCGGTTTGAGGGTTATTCTGCTCAGCGTGACGCAGGTTGACGAGGATCTGAAGGAAATCCTTCCTCGTCTCTCCTTCGGTGGTGCTCTTCATCTGAACGGTGTCCCTGATGATCCTCTCGAAGAACTCTTCGACTTCCTTCTCCGCCGACCGAAGGCCGAGGAGTTTGACCAGTCGCGGAGAAAGCAGCTGCACCAGCATCCCAAAGAAGCGGCTCCACGAGAAGACCATGGCGCGGTCCATCATCCGCTTCAGCTCGTCGTTCGGGTCCTAAAAAATAGAGTGAAAAAAAACCTGGGTCATAATATCTTCAAAATTTGAATATATCGCTCATCTAGAGACAATTGCCTATCGATAACCCCAATTTGATCTCCGAGGAGTTGAAATAGTTGCTCAATGTGAAAGCATGCATACGGCTCTTCGCAGCAATAACTCATCGTTCTGAGGAGAAAATATTTTTCTTCGGAACACTAATTAATTTCTCCGGACAGAAAATAAATCTGTCTCTAGCAAAAACCTGGGTCTTTCCCCGCTGAACTGATCATAATTTTTAATCAAACCTGAATGGCATCGCTCTTGATGCCCAGCGCGGAGGCGGCGATGATCTCCATGGAGAAGTTGCCCATGAGCTCTTTGGCACAGAGTTCTATTTCTTCCTTCTCTCCCTCTGAGCACAGCCGCAAAATGTGAGCATCCAGTCGCTCCGCGCAGCCCTGAAGCGTCTGGTACATGAGTCGTAGCTTTGCTGAGCTGAACGCTTGAGCTACCTGATAAAAAAAAATGATGAAAAATAAAATAAATAAACGGATGATCGCGTGACGCTGAGCAATTTCAGATTTTTAAAAGACATTCCGAAGTCCCAACAACCCCAACCACAGTGAAAAGAAATTCAAGAGGGAACAATTAAAAACGAGTGGTAGACTACACTCAACCATCAACATCCCTCCGGTGGTTGGGAAATAATTTAACTATTTTAAGAACACGGATCATCTCCAATTGTGACACAAGCGACACACAAAGATAATTTCCTTTCCTCAGAGCAGAATTTCTTTTCAACGGAAGAGAAAATAAATTACCTTTCCTCCGAAAAGAATTTCCTTCCATAGGAAAAAATAATTCTCCTCTTTCGAAAGCCTGTCCTTTTCCTTCAAAAGGCTTTTCTTTTCTATGGAAAAGATGTTTTCCTTTCCTCAGTAAAGACTTTTTTTCAAAGGAAAAGATAGTTTCCTTTTTTCCGAAAAACTTTTATTTTCGAAGGAAAATAAAATTTCCTTTCTACCGAGGGGCGTTTCTTTTCGACAGAAAACAAAATATCCTTCCTTCCGGAAAGAGTTTCTTTTCTCCAGAAAATATACTTTTCCTCGTGCGAAAAACTTGTCTTTTCCAAAGAAAATCTTTTTTCCTTCCACCATGACCCTCCATTATTTCCGGGATGTGGCAGCCGTGGTACGGCGCGGCGCACAGTGGATCGAGTCAATAGGAAATGTCGGACAAAATGTGGAAACTTTAAACGATTATAACTCCGTTTATACAAAAATTTGAGGTTCCAAAAGTGGTTCCAATGGTTTTCTCGGGAAATTTTCTTCGTAAAGCATCCCTGGAAATTTAAAATTGGATGAAATAAACACCGGAATTCTCAGTTTTAGTGAAAATTTCATGTCCGACCTCTCTAATTGACTCGATCCATTGTGCGACGGACTGTGTTTATTGATATCGTCAAAAAGCTTTCGTCCTCGCAACTAGGAGAAATATGGACTGATCTGGAAAGGTCTTATGCTTGTTTCGATATTATTATAGGAGCCACGACGAGCCACCGACGCGACGGTAGGTTCTTTCGTCAACGGCCACTTCACGTTGAAAGCACCGGTTTTCGTCCTCGTTGAGGAAATGAACAACTCTTTAAAGAGCCTTATGCAAAAACGGCCGAATCCCCCGTTGCTCCGATTGCTTCCATTTTTTAGTATGATATTTTACCATAACAAAGGGCCCCGTTTCTGATAATTTCAAGTCCAAAAAAAATTTTCCCGCGCTTTGGCGGCGTTGCCAAGTCGCAACCTTAAAAATTCGATAACTTTTGAACCAATTGAGTTATTGATCTGCGGTTTGCGCTAAAATTCTTTAAAAATTATGAACTTTTGTTTTATGTATGGTTTTTGGATAGAACGTAGCATAAACTTACGATTCACCTCTTTTTTGGATTTTTGATCCGTCGAATTTTACGTGTTCGAAAGTACCCAAAAAAGCAATTTTTTGATTTTAAAAAAAATATGTCCAATCGATTTCTCGTCTGATTCCGCATCTATCGATATGTCATACTTGGCGGAGAAACGATTGGTATAGAAGTTACGACCATTTTTATACGCGGGTTTCGACGCGCCGCGCCGTACCCATTACGCACCGTTACAGCAGTCCTGGGCTCCTCGCCGCGTGGCCTATAGCGACTGGTTCATCGACTTTACTCAACTTTTTAGTTTTAACTGACTTACTAAAGAGATAATTTGTAATAATAAAGTTTTTGTGCCCAGTGATTTGTTGTTCTAACCCATAGTTAATAGCCAGTTCTAAGTGTCAGAGACCATCCAGGCAAACGAATAATGTAGAATAAGTAGAAAATGACTGAGATAAGTGACTGTTCGAAGCTGTGACGGAAAGAGAACTGATATTTGGGCTACATTTTGCAATAAGGAACTAGAATTATCGGCTCCTTTAAGAAACAACGTATGTGCTTTTAGTTTCTTTAGGCAAATAAGTGCTTTTACGGATAGGTCAGAAATTATGGTACCTCATGCCAGAATGACGTTTATTTAGCGAGAGATATTAGAAGCATACCTGCGGGGTTATTAGGAAGTATTAATTACCTTTGGATCGATTAGAAATCTGGGATTAGATAGACAAAAGTTAGTTCGCAGTGCAGATAGTGCAAATAATGTCGTCAGGAATAGACCTCTATTTCGAAAAAATGATAATGTAATTACATACATCTATTCTTGAACAAAACTTATAGTCTCTGTGAAGCTCTTTAAAATGATGGATATCGATGAAGATTATTAGCGTAACTTGAAATGGATATTTATACGTATTAATTGAGAACGACAGTATTCAAAAGTAGGGAAAACGTAACATTACAATCTTCCTTTTCATCGCAACGGAATCAGTGGCGTGGTATGAATTGCGATATATCGATTGTTATGCCATTTAAACCTACGTAAAAGGATCGATAAACAGGGTGTTCGCAGCGAAAACCTTAATAATCGATTCTTTACCATAGTTTTAGATGGCATAACAATCGATAAATCGCAATTCACGCCACGCCACTGTGAGGTTCAGTATACTCCGTTTTCCGCGAGAGATGAGGATTTTGTATGATACCACTATTTTAACGCCAGTGCGCGCGGCTAGTATCGCGCTCAAATTGAGGGCGCACAATCGTGAGAAGAGAACAAAAGTGAGGGCGGATACAGCTTTAAAGTGAAGTATTCAGCTGCCGCTTCTTGTTTTCTGCGTTTAATTATGTGATTCAAATTTGACCCTTTTGATCAAACAATTACTTGTTTGCGATTGAAGTGCAATCAGTGTTCGAAACTCACTTTTGAGTTTCAGGAGCCATGTGGCGCATCAAGCCCGATTTTTAGGCGCCATTGAAGATTTTTCAGGGGCCAAATTGACTCTTTGCCTATATTTTACGCATATTTATTTAGTTAGATGCAAGATGTTTTCGTAACAGAACTAGTAAGTAGCTGTAACTTGGGTAAGACAAAAGCACTAAGAATGAAATTGTGAAGAATAGAAATAGAGTTTCTTTTTAATTCAAATAGATTTGTTTTCTTTCTTTATGTGACTTCTTATGAAAATCAAGATTTTTCGGGAGCAATTTTTAGGGGCCACGTTGACGCAGTACCTTCATTTTTTAGGTGCCATGACCGATTTTTTAGGCGCAGGCGCGTTGGCGCCTGTGAGTTTCGAACACTGAGTGCAATATTAGTATTTTTAAAAAAAACGAATGAAAGAAGATGCGGTAATATTTTTAATTGCAATAAATAAGATGTAAATAACGATTTTGTCTCTCAAGTCACCGATTCTTCTCCCTGAGATAACAACGGAAATTCTCGAGTTCAGGTAAAGTGATCGATAATTAAAGTGACAGTATGGGAACACACTCTCAAAGGCGCAAGTGAAACTATTTATAAAAGTCCCGAGGGGTTTTCTTCATAGAGAAGAATGCCTCTGCAAGTTGTAAGTATATCGGATTATAGCCGATGTCTCATATTATCCAATCATCACTTTTGCACTTAAAGACTAATGGAAGCCTTTCATTTACCCATCATTCAGAACTACTCAATACTCTAGATACGCGCGTTATTTGATTAGGAACGGTTGTTGGAATAATTATTTTTAGCGCAACTCTTACTCGGAAATGGATAAACCACGATATTTTAATACGCTAGTATAGACAAAAACTATTTGTCTTTAAGCTTTGTATACCTTTGTACTAAAACGAAAATAAATTAAATTTAACAATTCAACAACAACAAAATGATATTCTGGGACTTTTTCAGACCATCCGCGGAAAAAAAGCTTGTATGCGGAAACAAAATTCGAGAAGGTCAATCGGACTGCATTCTGCAATTAGGAACTACAATTTCTGGCTCTGTTCAGGAACAACGTATCTGCCATTAGTTTCCCTATGCACAAAAGTGTTTTTACGGATGATGCAGAAATTGTTGTTCCAAATTGCAAAATGGAGTCCAATTGGATTTACCTAACTTTTTTGCGACTATCCTCCTTCTCTCCTCCTTCCCTTTTCCTCCTTTCCTGATCTTCCTTTTTTGTTTTGGAATATCCAAGCAAAAAATTAGCTTGCATCGGAGACACAATGCGGGGCGATGAATTGGACTGCATTCTGCAATTAGGAACTAAAATTTCTGGCTCTGTGTAGGAACAACGTATGTGCCATTAGATTCCCTATGCACAAAAGTGTTTTTGCGGATGATGCAGAAATTGTTGTTCCAAATTGCAAAATAAGTCCAATAATTGGATTTACCTAACTTTTTTGCGACTTACGGAATATCCAAGCAAAAAATTAGCTTGCATCGAATATACATCAAAGGTCGATTGGACTGCATTTTTCGATTGAGAACTACGATTTCTGGCTTAGTTTAGGAACAACGAATGTGCCATTAGTTTCCCTATGCACAAAAGTTTTTACAAATGAGACAAATATTGTAGTTCCGAATTGCAAAATGAAGTCCAATTGGAATTACCTAACCTTTTTTGCAAGTCACACCTCCCAGTTTAGAGCAAAAACTGTTGCAAGTTGCTTCTTATTTCAGTGCACGCATGGTGATTCCGTGACAATTTTGAGAACGGAGAAAAAACTACGTTGTTTTGAACGCAAAATAAAGTTCTGCGTTGATTAATTTTTCCCCATTATCATCACATTATAGACGCTCTTGTTTCTGGAACATTCTGGCACAGTTCATTTAGAAATTTCCTCTCTTTTTCGCCCCTCCCCAAAGGGTTTTGGGTTAAGTATTTTTCTTTTGTTTTGAACTTTTACGGACTTTTACCCCTCCCTTCCCCCAAAAAATACATCCTCACAGCGTTCTTTTCGTTTCTTATTGTTTACACAATTTAATCCTTTTTCATTGTTTTGTAGTCTCGAAGTTTCTCGAAGAACAGAACAGGGATTTTAAATCCTGTTTTCAATAAAGAGATCCCTCCACCTCATTGGAACAAAAGGAATGCATTGTTGTCCTTTTGTTCCGTG